TTCAGGACAGCCTCGGTGACTCCTGCAGTTGTCCTTAACTTCCGTACTGTGTGCAGGAGGCCGTGACACCCATCTCTTGCTCACCTCCAGACTGGAAGAAGGAGAACCACAGCGAGCTATTTCCAAGAGGGGCTCCCTTAGAATAGGGAATTTGTCCCACTGCGGTCTTTTCCTTTTGGTCCACATATCCACCAGTTGGATATACATATTTCAAGTAACAGTGGAAAAAAACAACATAGTCAAGTTGTTGATGGTACAGGAAAACACTCTCATACCTTATTGATTCTAAGGGGGCAATCTGACACTGCAAAAAAAAATTTGATGAATTAATCTTCTAGAAATTTATCCTACAGAAATAACTACCTTAAGTATAAAGTTAATATAGACAAAAAAATTTACTATAACATACAAAGTGGCTTTCAGAAAACCTAAATCATGGTCTCTCCAAATAATGCTATAAAGCCATCAGAAAAATAAGGTAGCTAACACTAGGGATGGTAGAGTACAGCTCTAGTCCCAGCTTCTTGAGAGTGTGGGAAGAGCACTTGAATCCAAGAGTTGGAGACAAGAATGAGCAACACAGTGAGACCTCCATCTCAAAAAATACAATGAAACAAAACAAATTAGGTTGCTACTTACATACTGACACAAAAAGATGTTCATAAAACAAAGTGGGAAAAAAGGCATCCCACAGAACAATTTGTGTAGCATGACATCTTCACTGTGATCAAAGATTCTATAAGTGTGTTTAGGCCTGACACTCTGGAAACACATGCTAAACTACTAACAACAGTTACCTTTGGAGAACGGGACAGAAATTTCAGGATTTCTTTTAGCCACATACAAATTATTTTGATTCCAAATTCATCGTTTATTTGCTTACTCAGAAATGCTTACAAGTACCTGGTTTGTGCCACAAACTGAGATTAATAATACAGCAGTAATTCAGATTAAAAATATAATCTCTGGAGCTTACATTCAAGTGGGAAAACATGTAAACATAAGAAAAGTCAACTATAGAGTGTGCTAAGTAGTATGAGATATACAGCAGGGAGACCAGCCTCACTGGGAACCACAGCTCAGTAAAGAAATGAGATTGAGGAACCTAAACATTCAAACACAGCAAATAGTCAGTGAAAAGGCCCTGGGGCAGAGCAAACACAGGGGTGATATTTCATAGGGAGGAAAAGAGTTCCAACATATGCTGCCTGGTATTGAAGGCCATCGTGGACTTCAATTTTGTGATGGTGATCCACTTGCCCGTTCGAGTGAAACTGATTTGACTCCAATCAACAGAAATAGTATAGATTCAGTGGAGAAAAAGAATAAGGCAAGAAAGAAAGAATAGAGTCAGAAAGCCCAGGAAAACAGCATTACCATAGGCAGGAGGAGGAGGATGGTCATGTGCACCATGGTGCAAGAGTGTTGCCAGATTATGGATTTATTAAGAAGGTAAAGATTTGCTGTCAGCCTGGATAAAGGAGCGTGAGATGCACATACATTCTGGCATTTAGGAGAGGCAGGCAAAATGTCTTGAGTGCACTCACACACACATATCTGAGAGTAATCGGCATACTGGTCTTTACAGCTGTGGGACTGAATGGTGTGGAACATCACTAAGTTAGCATAACTGGAGTGTAGGGAGAACACAGTCCCAGATTGAGCCCTGGGGCTTGTAAGACTGGAAGACAAGACAGAGCCAGCAAATAAATTTAAAAAGAAGAGTCTAGACAGGAAGAAAATTAGAAGACTGCAGTGTTTGGACAAACTAATAAAGTGGTTTCAACAGAAGAGAGGAAATCAACAGTACTGGATGAGACAAGAAACATAAGACCTGAGAATTAACCATAAAATTTAGCAGCAATTACAAGAGCAATTCCAAGGAAAAAATGGGAATGAATATCCAATGGGAGTGGAGTTGGAAGTTAACATGAGTACGGATAACTCTTTGAAGGCATTTACTGAGAAGGAAACAGAGTGGCGGGGTCAAGGTATTTTTAGTGGAAGAATCACAGCAGCAGTGGGAAGTAATGATGGGAATAACCCAACAGAAGAGAAGACGCATGGGAGGGCAGGACTGCAGCCCAGAGCCCTCCAGTAGGCAGGGCACACTTATCCCTCAAAGCAGTGGAAGGTGAATGGGGCTCTTCAGTGGAGCCCATCTGGCCTGGGGCACCTCTCTCACAGCAGTCTGCTTTAAAGGGCAGGCAAAGCAGTGTCACTCTAGAGGGGAGCTCAATTAACTGGTGAGCACATGGACATAGGGGAAGATCAGGGGTAGATGTGATTGTGTGACGTTTGTGAACGTTCTCTTTGGACTGCTTCCTCCTTCTCGGTGACACAGGACTGTCATCAAAGTGAGGAGAAAGGAGGATGTGGTGCTTTGAGGAAAGAGGACTCAAATGGTCACTTAGAAAGGGCATCAAGACATTAACTTACAATAAGTTCAATTTGTTAAGTTTTGACATATGTATTACATGTTAAACCAGAACCACAAGACAGTGAACACACCCATCACCCCCATTTCTTCATGCCCCTTTGAAATCTCTATAAGTCTTCCCTCCAACTCCTAACCCCACCGCTTTCTATACATTTCTGTAGATGACTCCACATTTTCTAGTGTATAGATTTTATAAAACAGTACTTTTGAGATGTGTCCATGTTGCATGTATCAACAGTGAATTCAAGTTGAGCACTATTCCATTATGTAAATAATCACAATTTCTGTATTTACTTAGTGATAAATGTGGGTAGCTTCTAGCTTTGGGTTATTATAAAGTTACTATGAAGGTACAAGTATTCATAAGGAAATATACTTTTTCTTTTGACAATTAGGAACGTTAAATGTACATGACCTACAACTGTCTTCCAACGTGACTGTGCCATTTCACATTACCTTCAACCGAGCATAAGTTCTAGCTCTTCTGCATCCTCACCAATATGTGGTATGTTTTTATTTTTAGGCATTCTAATAGTATGTGGTGCAGCCTACTTTAGTTTTAATTTGCATTTTCCTAGAGACTAATTATGTTAAATAATTCATTGGTTATTTATTGAAGAACCAAGCATATTTCATATGCTTGCCACATCCTCCCCGCCCCTGGGAATTAAATCCAGGGCATTGCAAACTAGTTAAGTGCTCTACCAATGAGCTACATCCCCAGCCCAGTATATAACCTTTAGTGAAGTGTCTGTTTAAATAATTTGCCCAAACGGTATACTTATTGTTTTGAGACTGCTGTATTCTAGATGCATGTACTTCATCAGAAATTTCCTGCCACTCTATGGTCTTTTTATTCACTTGGCATCTTAAGAGGTTTTCAATTTGATCAAGTATGATTTATCATTTTTTCTTAAATGAAATGTACTTGTATCTAAAAACTATGCCTAACACAAGGTTAAACATTTTTTTCCTTCATTTTCTTCTACAAGTTAGTTTTGGGTTTTATATTTAGGATTATAACTCATTTTAATTCTTACTATGGTATGGAATGTTTTTAATTTTGCATCTTATGTCCAATTATTCCATCATTTTTCAAGACCGCTGCATTTTTGACAGAACTCTACTGTAGTCACTATGCACGTGGGTCTATTTCTGGATTCTATTCTGCTCCCTCAGGCCCACGGACAATAGTCAGCCAGCAGAAAGTCCTGCTCCAACTGAACAAAGAACAGGTAAGTGATGAATGGGGTTCCTGGGAAGAAGCTTCGCTTCTTTAGGTCTGACCTAAAGAAGTTACTGAATAAATGTGGAGAAGTGAGAAAACTCAGGCACTGTTACATATGTCAAGGAAGAAAATTCAAAAAGATAATTAAACAATGCAAAGTGGAACAAAAAGGAACCTCCACCTAGGCTCTTGTCTGTGTACATTTGGATGGCTTTAGTGAGAGTATGGCACTGCATGAAGTAGGCTGCAGGAGGCTGACAGGAGATGGTGTGTGGGAGAGGGGTCCTTACATGTAGGAAACTGAGGAAGCCGCAAGATCACTGCAGGCTCCCAGTCTCAGTCCTTTCTTCTCCGTGTTCCCAAGGCATCTTAGTCCTACCTATTGTGTTCTTTTTCATTCTCAGCTCCTTAACAGCAGACCTAATGCCTCATTTAAGTAGAGCACTAAGTGCAGTGCTACAAACAAAATGAACATAGAAAACCACCAACAAAACCTCATCACTGTGCTCAGGAGTGGCACCAAGCTGGAGCGCAAGGGGAAATTATGGTCAGCTTCTGAGCAACGCCACACAAGCGCCTCTGATGGAAATTCAACTTCACAGATTAAAGATGGTCCTGTGTTTTAACAAAAAAATGAGTGAAAATGCACTTGACTGGGTGGGGGAGGGGTACTAATAGAAAAAAACATGCAGGTTTTTCAAAATCATTTGAAACCTAGAAATGGGAAAAATCAGTAAGGTCTCTACAGCAAAACATTCTCTTCATTCTGAGCACTCAGGCATAAACAGAACCTGGGTAAGTCCTTCCCTTTTTTCTGGGACATATGGTCAACTACATAAAATGTTTTTTGATTAGTTTTACCATGTCAAAGACTCCATCTGAAAAAGAGACAAGCTTGGACTTTGGTCTTGTGGAGGAGTAAGCAGTGGACAAGATGGGGTTTTACCATGTCCAGTGAAGATGGCTACCTTTCAAGTACTGGGGAGAAGTGGCTACAGTTTCTCCAACTATGCTTTTAAACCTGGGCTTATAATAGAAGGGGAAGGTCATACCACATGAAAATTGAGCTGTTTTTTCTTACATAATTATTAAAAATATATGGATTATCTATGTATGCTGGCTAATAATGTACATTTCTGTATTTTATATGTATGTTTGAGATAGGGTCTCATTGTGTTTTCCAGGCTGGTTGTGAACTCCTGGACTCAAAGCAATCTTCCTGTCTCAGCCTCTCCAGTAGATGGAACTAGAGGCATGGACCACCGCACCAGCTTCACATTTCTGTAATTTTAAAACGTTCTTCCAACAAAGGAAAAAAAAAAAAAACTAGGCTACAACTAACATTCACTTTATTCAATTTTGTTCTCTCAACTCAGAAGGCAACAAATGGATCACATAGAAAAGGGAGCATTTTTTAAATATATACACATAAAATTGGTATGGGTACCTAAGGTGTTCACTTTAATAAAAAACTGACATCCCAAACAACTATGTATTCTATTTAGCTTCTACAACAGTCATTCCTAGGCCTTATTCATTACATTTATTTATATAAGGTACTATATTACTTTCATGACTACAAAATGAGGCACTCATACAGAACAGACAAGAATGAAAACATGTAGGTACTGTCTCATCTTTGTTATATTAATGCCAAAAATATCACTGGGGATTAATTGAAAGGAGCCCTTACTCATGAAAGTTGTTTACAAAATTGATGACACACAGCAGGACTAAGCTGACAAGAAAATATCTGATTGGGCAAATTAGATAGGTGGATACAAAACAGCTTAATCAAAAAAGAGAATCTCCATGAATAAGCCTTTTAATAATACTTTAGTGGTAAGACATTTTAGGTTTGACTTTTCTTGATGACTGAAAAATTAACATTCTAAAGGAATATTTTAAACATAATCATGGAATTTTACAATGTAAAAAAAGCATCATAGTAAATAGCTTAATATTCTCAATTCTGAAAATGAAAATAAATAGCTAACTTGTGAAGTATTTATAAGTGCCAGTGTTCTTATGTGATGGCACTACAGTCTTATGTGTGTGCTTGCAAACACAATACAGTGTAGAAATGTCCAGTGTTTCTTTGTTTAAAAAGTCATCAATTCAACCTAAATTCAAGAATTACACTTTAATAGTAGCATTTTGCCAATACAGAGATGACATACTGAGGATCAAATCATTTGATGGAAAGTTATTCTCTATTACTTGTATGAGAGAAAGAACGCAAGATTTCACATTTATAACAATTATATTAAATGTTGAAATAAAAATTACTTGCTTACATGTGGAATTGAGATGTCCCATCTCCTTTGTTTCTCCGGAGAACAGGAAAAAAAAAATTAAAACTTAAAAACATGGAGCTTTTTTAAGGCTAGCTATATGCAAATTTCACATTGGCATTTTTCTTCAGTTTTTATCAACTATTAGTACTTTAATCTAAAACTCAAACATAATTTGCTAATAATGAAGAAATGTACAATATGTACCATGACTTTTGATAACTAGTCATGTAAAACTAACCCCAGCTGATGATTTGTCTTCAATTTATAAATAGTAAAAATAAAGCAAAAAGGCTTCTTTCCCAGTAAAACTTCCCTGAAGACGGTTTCAGCCCAATGTAAAAGGAAGCAAAACTACACTAAAAGTATTTTTTTAAAGTCTACATGAAGAAGGGCAGCAATACTAATACTGGCACCTTCTGAATTATGGTTTTTAAATATTTGTGACTATTGGTTAATAATAAAATCTGGATACTACCCAAGCAAATATTAGCCAGAAATACCTTCCTTATGTTAGGATTTATCTTATGGAAGAGAACAGGACCAAAAAAAAAAAACAAAAACTGAAGAACCTGGAGGGCTGGTGATATAGCTCAGTGACACAGCATTTGCCTAGCATGTGCCAGACTCTGGGTTCTGTCCCCAGCACCATGACAACAAAACTAGGAGGAATTTCTCAATAAGACAATATAAAGTTATTTTCCAGTGACATGAGGGTGACTTTTTTAGTTACTCTGATGTGTTTTTTTTTTAACAAAGCATCTAATAAGACTGATTTAAAATTGTGAAGGATGATCCACTTTTAGCCATTTATGATTATCTGTCTAGATCTGTTAAAATGTGTTCCAATGAGTTATCAAGATCTACAAATTACTTAAAAATTATAAAAAACTTAAATTAATATAATCAAGTTATATGCCCAAATCAATATTGTTCTTCCCCAAGAGAACAACTTATATAGTCAAAACAATAGGTGGCATTACATTTAAAATGCTCCCAACTTTTTATAGTAAGACTAAATTTCCAGTAAAGGTAGAGCTAGCAAAGGACTTGTTTCAAACACAAGAGAAAAGGCTATCTCAAAGTGCCAAATAGTGTTAACACTGAATCCTATGTCAAGCAATATTCTTCCTCGATACTGATGTTTTAAAATATATTTTGAAGTATTTCCTTACAATTTAAGGAAGAATTGTTGAAAAATGAAACCACCAGAACTTGTTGCTCTTGATTTTGGTTGCTTATTTTTGGCTGATTTTCATATTGTTAAAAAAAAATATATCCGATTTTAACATATGAGTTTTAATACTATATAGAAATTTTTTTATACTTTCTGAAAATCTACGCTGCCCATTTTCTATGAGAACTAAGTTGTCACTCAAATGCAAACACTACCCTTACAATAAACCAATACCATTAAATACTTGGATTATGTGCTCAACCATTCTACTCCTCCAAACTCTGAACTTGAAACTTTGGTTATAAGGGAAAACCAAGTCTGTTAAGTATCCAGTTCTCTGAGACGTTACAGCACATTTCCAATGAAATACATTCCTATGTTAAAAGGCCAGCTCAAGCCAGCTTCCTTCTGGACAAAAAGAGTTGGTTTTATTCGCAGTTTTATTCTGTAAACAAAAAAGCTTTGGAAACTTTGGGATTTACTGATGAAAACACAGGAGAAATGTACTCACTACTCCTCACCCGATGATGCACTCACCAGAAGGACTAGGTGTTCTAACCAGCTTTCTCTAACACTGTCAAACCAAGACCATGACCACATCTACACTTAAAAGCATCTCAGAATGTCCTAAGTCCAGTAAGATGTAATATTGTTGGTGATGTTATTCTGTGAGAGATTTATGATCTTGCACGACACTTTGGGCCACTGCTGTCAAAAAGTTGTGTGGAAGGGGGGACAAGGAACTAATGAAAATCTTCATTTGTATGGTTTTTTTCCCCTAAGTACAGACATGCCCCTAACAAGCACAAAACCCAACTCCCAATGCTGATCACTAGGAATATTAAATTATCAAAATTAAAAATAATCTCCTCACCTAGCACAACATACTATACAATATTACAAACACAGACACATGAAAAAAAATCAGGCAGTAGAAAATGTACAACAGCTTTGGTGTTATACAAAATAACTTCCCAAAACGACTGACAGTGAAGCTCAAAATTGCTGTTTTCTTACCACAGACACTTCACTACTGCTTTCTACTGGTTTCCTTTTAGGTTCCTGGAAAGGTGTGAAGAGCCAAGAAAGACAGGATGTACAGTCTGCTTAGTGAGAATTGCTAGGAAAACCGAGAACTGCGTTCCACAAGACGTCACTGAAAGGTCTCGCCTGTGTACTATTGCTCTGTGGCACGTTTCCTGTCGAGATCACAGCAGGTCCAAAATAAAGTGACAACTAGATTTAATAAATTAATATACATTTTGTTTAAAGATGTACAATGCACATTCTGTTTAATCCAAGGTTTTAGGGAAATCAAGGAACTTCTATTTACACATATACAGATCTCAGACAGCAGTGATGTCGGCAGATGCAGGGAAGAGCAGCAGAGCCTTACACGCTACTCTCTGGATGCTGAGGACACAAGTCAAGTACATTTAACTTAAAAACAACGCTGAGAGATCACGGGGTGAAATCTCCAAAGCGAGAAGTCCACAAAAAAGGACACGTAAAGGCAAGGGGAAGGTCAAGGAGTTGAGACAACCACTTTATTCTTGGGACGACTGTGGAGGTGGCACAGATGTTCCTTGTTTGCCAGATTTCCTCTCATAGTTCACCAGGCGTTGACCCACAAGGTACCTAGGTGGTTAACATAGGGTGGTTACTCTCTGATAAAATCTTACAAATAAAACATTCTTCTAATTGCTGTATGTATATATGTGACTGCATAACCAATGTGATTCTGCCACCTGTATACTCAGAAAAATGAGAAATTACACCCCATCTGATTCAAATGTATGATATGTCAAGATCATTGTAGTATCATGTGTAACTAATTAAATTAAAAAAAATTCTTCTAAGAACAGCAAGGGATACATTTTTAATGTAAATCAGGTCAATTTATTCCTCCCTAAAGCCTTTCAATAGGTAGGTAGACCAAAGGAGAGTCTAGAATGAACAACTGCAAAAGACAGAAACACAGGTGCCACAGAGCCATGTAGGGGTATATGTAGGAAGTATGACAAAGATTAGAAGGCCTCTGATGCTGTGCATTGACACACATGCAGTTCTCAAACTCAGACACTCAAGAGGCCAGAGGCAGATACAATAAATGAAAGCAGGAAATTTATTTGTATGGGCTCACATTTTATAAAAGCAGCTTAAAATCAAGGTCTGAGGAAATGGACTAGAAATATGATTACCAGAAAGCAGGGTAAGAAAAAAGTAGGAGGTGAAAAGCTCTGGTTCTAGAGAAAAGGAGAAACCGAAGGGCAGATTTCAGTGAGGCCAAGCGGGAGATGGCAAGGCACTGAGTGTACATGGAGTAACAGGAGGCAATGGTCTGTGAATAGAATACTGAGTGCTCCAAACAGACATGATGTGAGAGGAGAGGATGTAATGGCAATAGGCAGGAGTTATTGAGGCTGGAATGGCAAGGCTGCAGAGCCTCCACAGGTAGACCAAATTCCCTGACAGGAAGGGCTCACTAAGAGTCAGTGGATGGGCTGGATACTGACTCCTGGAGGAGTGTCTAATGGAGGTGGTCTGTTCTGTTCTGTCTTAATCTAAAACTATTTAATTTATTGTCAAAACAGAACATTTGAAAACAGACAAAAATTATTTGGTATGAAAAGTAAATAAATCTTCCTCCCCAAACCACCAGTTTCTCCAACTTCTCCAGCTCCATAAATGACAACTGCAGATTCCCTGTTGCTCTACCTGACTGTACTCTCCCTTCATGTCCTACATCCAATCTTAGCACATCCTACTACAAAATATATCCAGAATATGAATTCTTTCCCTTCTTGAGATTTATCATATAAAACACAAAAGTTAAGAAATGACAACACTTTCACAAGAGTGGTCAGAATAATGGAATTCTAGACTTACTTGTCATTTTTTATATGTTCATAAAGGCGCTTAAACTGGCGAACCTGGAAGGACAAGATTCCCATCAATACCACAACCATCAGTAAAAATGGATAAATCCGCCGGTGGACTAAGTTTTGCATTTCTGCAGTAACACCTGTAAAACCAAAAGAAGAAACCTGTAAGTGGTATGTTGCTATAATTTGGATATGGCTTGAAGGTGTTCCCCAGTGACTTATGGGTGGACAGTACTGAGGGGTAGGACTTAGTAGGAATTAATTAGGTCATTAGGAGCTCTGGCCTTGGAAGCTGATCTCATGGAGTTAGTTCCTGAAAATGGGCTGTTATACAAGGATGAACTTGACCCCTGAATCTCTTTGGCTTCCTGTCTCATCAGGTGATCTCTTCCAGATGTGCTGCCACAAATGTGATACCATCTACCATGAGGCTCTCAACAGAGACCAAATGAATGGGGCTACTCAATCCTAGACTTTCAGTCTTCAAAACTATAAGCTAAATAAACCTCTTTTCTTTATAAAGTACCCACTTTCAAGTATTTTGTTTTAGCAACAGAAAATAAACTAATGCATGAGTAGAATAACAATAAAAATGAAAAACATTGTTCCCCTACGAAGAGGATGGGCCTAGGGCGGAATACAACAAGTATTCAAGATAAACTTTCTAAGTCCAAGATCTGTTGTCGGCTTTCTACAACCTAAGTGAGCTAGATTAAATGACTGCTCAAGTTCTTTCCAGATTAAATTAATTTTGGACTCCACAAATAGCTGATGTCATTTACACATTTAAGCTATACTTTAAAAAAATAAAAACAGCTGGGTGCAGTGGTGCACACCTGAAATCTCAACAGCTCAGGAGGCTGAGGCAGGAGGATTGGAAGATCAAAAACAGAGATCAGCAACTTAGAAAGAGCCTATCTCTAAATAAAATATTATAAGGGCTACGGATGTGGCTCAGTGGCTAAGCAACCTTAGGTTCAATCCCTGGTGCCAAAAATATAAATAAAATAAGATAAACAAAAATAAAACTATGTTTAATAAAAGATCTGTTCCTTAAACTTTTAGAACACTCAAATTTATTTTTCAACTTTAATTCATGAGTTTTAACTCTTTCTTGGGAGGGCAGCTTTAAAATCAGATGAAATATTTCAAAGGACATCAGAAAATTAATATCCCAACTGGACTATTCCAAATCCCACAAGAGTCTGCTGCAGTAGAAAGAGCGTGGGCTCTGCAGCTGAGCTTGGAGTTTGAACTGTCCACATACTCTTTAAAGTATAACTTCATCAAGACTCACCGTTCTATAAACTCAGTTTCAAAAGCTCTTCTAAGAATATGTAACGATTCTATAATGCATCTAAAGAGAGCCAAAAAGTGCTTAAAAAAATCATTACTAATATTTCCTTCTTCTATAAAATCTTTACAATGGGGTTCACAATGAAACTTCTAATAGTGCAAAGTTGGTTACCGTGGTGCACATCTGAAATGCTGTGACTCAGGAGGCTGAGACAGGAGGATCAGCCTCAATTTGAGGTCAGCCTCGGTAATTTAACAAGATCCTTTCTCTAAGAATAAAAAAGAGCTGGGGATACAGTTCAGTATTAAGAGTGTCCCTAGGTTCGATCCCCAATACTGCAAAAATAAAAAACAAACCAAAACAATAACAAAAAATTCTAATAGTGGAAATATAAAAAGATTTAGGTTTAGAAAACCAAAAAGTAATCCTTAAGTCTATATACTATCAGTGGACAGGACATAATACATATTAATCAGAAAATAATATTAAGACAATGACATTCCTACAATACCTGAAACAGCTAAAACAGTAAACTAGAAAATAAAATTATCTACTTTTATTAAAAATATTATTCTAAAGATTCTAAATAATTTTTTTTTCTTCTTTTGGTACTAGGGATTGAACCCAGGGGAGTTTAATGAGCCACATCCCCACCCCCTTTTATACTTTATTTAGAGACAGGATCTCACAAAATTGCTCAGGGTCTTGCTAAATTGCTAAGGCTGGCTTTGAAATCACAATTCTCCTGCCTTAGTCTCCCGTGCTGCTGGGATTACAGGCATGTTTCACTGTACCCAGCTTCATTATTATTAGGTTTTAAAATTATTTATTTTATTTATTTATTTTAGTTATAAGTGAGCACAATACCTTTACTTGATTTTTATGTGGTGCTGAGGATTGAACCCAGTGCCTCATGCATGCTAAGCGAGTGCTCTACACCTCTGAGCCACAACCACAACCCCTTCATCTATTATTTAAGCCCAGCTAAATGATTATTTGTTTACCAACAAAGCATTTGAAATCAGATAGCCTTTGTCATAAGAACATCACAAAGTTAATAAAGTGCTCTCTAAAGCTCCATAGCCAGCATTACCCACCTAATAAGGGAACAACGCCAGAAGCTATGACATAAGGTACACACAGGGAAAGCAAGAGCACAGAGATCACTGGAGCTGCCAATTTACGAATGATGTAGTGAAGGTCAATGTTCCGGATGCCATTTGCATAAACCTAAAACAATAAGAAAAAATTAGAACAAAAATACTTAACAAATTCTTCCATGCTATTTGTCAACTCAAAAGGATTTAAACTGGTTATTTTTTCCTACAGTCAAGGCAAATTGTGGAGCATAAACATAAACTTTGTTCTGGAAAGTTTTTAAAAGGAGTATATTTACTTACTAACACTGTGCAGTTAGCCACAAATTGTGAAATAAGACAACACTAATATAACCACAATTTTTACTATCTTTGCACTAAAACAATACCAAATAACATTCAGTAATTACACAATTGAATACTACAGAACTTGAAGTATTTTTTCACAAATCTATGTAAGAGTGATCTGTGTTATTATTCAAAACTATTTAACAGGCCCAGTGGCACACACCTGTAATCCCAGTAGCATGGGAGGCTGAGACAAAAGGATTATAAATTCAAAGCCAGCCTCAGCAACTTAGCAAAGCCCTGAGCAACTGACCTTGTTTCAAAAGACAAAATAAAAAGGGCTGGGTCTGTGGTTCAGTGGTTAATTGCCCCCAAGGTCAATCCCCAGTACCAAAAAAAAAAAAAAAAAAAAAAGGTCTCTCTCGATTAGAAAAAAAAAAAAAAAAATTCATTTTATCTAAATGTGACAAGAAAATAATGTAAATAGAAAATGTTTCCAAAAAACTGAATAAATCAAATTTTAAGAAACAAAAGGTATTTTATGTTAAAAAAAAAGCAGAAAAGAATTCTACAGTTAATTTATTTAAAAAATCCAAGAATTTCTAACATATTTCCTTCACCTTCAAGAAAATTCTACTGAAAAAGACTGCAAAGGAAAGAATAGATGTAAGTGGGAAAACCCTGAAAATAAATGGAAAATACTAATGAAGTGCAGAATGCTGTTTTTTCCCCTCTTGCCCTAATCCACAGCAATTATGTCCCTCACAAATCAGGATGTAGTGTTTCTCAAACCCCATACCAGGGATTTGAAGAACAAGCAGGCTTAATCCTTCAAAGTTTTACTTTCACCCTCAAAGAAACCTAGTTCACACAAATGCATTATAATTAAAAAAGAGGGTATCCCAATATTTCTCCATCAAGCCCAACCATTCAATTTTCATACAAATGTACAATCATGCCATAAGAAAATAATTCATTTTAAAGTGAAATATTACAAAAAAAAAAAAAATCAATGATGTTTCACAGCCTCCATGAAACCCTTATTATCTCCAAACCATGCAAGGGCCAGAGTCTCAGCCAGAGACTATAGAGTGGACTGGCTCACACCCCTATCCTGAATAGATATGCTGCCATGGGCGCCCAAACCCTCACATGCCTAATGGACTTCTAAATTAGTTTATACTCTGGAGACACATGTGAACACACAGTAATTCCCTTGCTTCCCCAACCTCTGCTCCTAAGAATCAAAATCTCAAGGTACAGGTAGTTTTCCCCAATTTTCTTGTGAACAGAGAGCTGAGAACTACTGCCTTTACTTCCCATACATCAAAAGGGAGGCAAACTTTCACTGCAGCACATTTGTAAGACCTTATTTATTTGGCATTGAGCTAAAGATTGAAGAATTAACCTTGAGGACATTTTCTAGACAACTAAAGCTTAAAGAAATAAGTACCAAAATCACACATTGGCTATTCTAGATAGACATCTTTTTAAATGAATTACTATACTCAATAATCTGATTATCAGAGCACAATCTACTTTTTTCAAGGCTATCACGCCAACGACCAAATTATTTCACAGTTTCTAATTCAGTAATAATCTCAGGTGTTATGTAACTAGAATATTCAACCATTTTGCCTTTCTAGTCTATTTTTTCCTGGTCTTTTCTTTTACTTATTGCCTCAAGTAATGGCTTCCTTTCCTCTCTCTACTATAGGTTTAGTAACATGAATAATACTAAGCTTCATTAGAACCCCTGCTCTGGAAAAGGCATGTATGACATATTGGCCTCTATTTTGGACACATATTCTAAGCATTTTATGTTACTGGTTAACCTTTTAAGCTGAGGCTTAAAAGTGGCTAATGAAAATTCATGGTAGTATGTAAGATCAAAATATGCCACCCCTAAACACCTACACTTCTTTGGTATAAGGAGAGCTGAAGGCAACTGAGCAGCACAGGCAGAAAGTACTCTGTCCTTCCTCTATTTTCCTAAAAGCGAACACAAAGGTAGCCTACTCGTCTCCCTTACTGAGAACAACAAAGGTTAACTACTAAAGACCCTTGTAGTCTGGCATACCAGAGGAAACTACAGTAACAAGTTTTACTAAACTAGTTTTTTATTTGTCTTACTCCAATACATCACTCCTAGATCTCAAAATCTTTCCCTTTGACCTTTTCCTTCTTTAAAAATTTAATATTCTTTGTTGAAAATTCCAGAATTCAAAGCTGTTTAAGAATTACATATTTCCCAGGGCATAAATTATTTTTTCTCTCCTAATAATAAAACTATCCTCTTTAAAAAGTTATATGTGCTCATTAACCCATTCTGTCCCATCTTCCCAGATGTGGATTACCTGTAAAAACTTAAAATTGAGCAACACATACACCATTTACTGTACCTTTGCAGTGTTATGTTTTTAGAGTTCCATTCTTTTTACTACAAGTTACTTTTTACTGAATCCAACTGAACAGAACATTACATACATATGTAATATATGGGATGCATTCATGAAAGTATTTTCTAGTACCAGCTTGTCATTTAATTTCAAGAACAGTGTGTGTACACAACACACACACACAAAATACATATATATTTCCAGGTCCTATTCATAGAAAAATCTGTATTCTTATATTTAATGGTAATAGAGACTATAATAAGCCTAGATTACAATTTCCAACGTATATTAATACATCTGTGTCAATATTTTTTTTAAATATCCACAGAATTGAAACTTGGAAGACAACGGGTTAAAAGAAAATAGAAAGTGGACACATAAACAGCTTAATTAATCAAACATAATCACAAACCCATTTCAATATATCTTTCTCAAAACTGATCTTGCTTACCTGTTCAATTACAGTTTTCAACCACCACTGAGGACCCATCAACGTTATAGCTGCAATGATTTTGGCATGCAGGACTCCAAGTGCCCAGTCCTAGGGTAATAAAAACCATTTAACACATTTTTTGTTGTTATTTTAACAGTAAATCTAGCAGAAAGGCAATACAAATTTCTCTTATTTCACACTTCAAAAAAGAAATTCTACAGAACTGGTAACAATTTGACCAAAAGATTAACATATACTGCAAAATCCAGGGAAGTTTTCTCCAAAAGCCCAAGTTTAGTGTTCCTAAGAAAAATCATCCTTGAATACTTTGATCTATATCATTTTTCCAAGAAAAATAGAAACTAAGTCTAAACATTAATGGCGATCTCAGTAATCAAATAAAAAACGATATAATTATTTTTATTTAAAAAATATATACATTTTTTTTTTAATTTTAGGTGGACACAATGTCTATTTTTTATGTGGTGCTCAGGATCAAACCCAGTGCCTCAGGAATGCTAAGTGGCACTCTACCACTGAGCTATAACATCAGCCTGCTATGATTTTATGTAATCAAACCATCCTGGGCTGGGGTTGTGGCTCAGTGGTAGAGCGCTCGCCTTGCATGTGCAAGACCCTGGGTTCGATCCTCAGCACCACATAAAAATAAATAAGTAAAATAAAGGTTTTTTAAAAAAAAAAATCCGGGGCTGGGGATGTGGCTCAAGCGGTAGCACGCTCGCCTGGCATGCATGCAGCCGGGTTCGATCCTCAGCACCACATACAAACAAAGATGTATGTATTAATATTTTTAATATTTTTTAATATTATAAAAATAAATATTAAAAATTCTCTCTCTCTTAAAAAAAAATCCAACTTAAAACAAAACAAAACAAAAAAACATCCTTACGCTGCTTTACTGGTTTGACTGAGTCAAAATAAGACTATGGAAACAAGAATGGCCTAAAGAAACTACTCCAAAGCCTCACAGCTTTGCGCTTAGATTTCTTTGTAGTTTTCTTGCTGAACTGTATTTTTCATTCCCAGTGTTACTGCACATCAAGTTCCTCCTGGTACCACTGGCTGACCTGCTAACCTCATCTCTCCACCAGCTAGCCAAAGTGCTTACCATTCCTTCCCCTCACCAAGTTGTTTCTTAAAATGTACATCAGATCATAGAAGTAGATAGATTTCATGCTTATAACCCTGAAATCCTTAACATGGCACGTATAGCCCTTCATAACCTGGTCTATCTTAAAAATATACACACATTAAAAATGTAACATATAACACTGAGATCTATTATATAAAAGTGAAGATGTTACAAAGAAGGCTGGTGTATTCTGTTACTGCTACCTCAATCTCTCTCCAGCAGTAACTACTATTGGTATTGAGTATATACTCTCTGTGCTTTCCCTCATGCATTTATCTGCAGCTATATGTCCAACTGAAAACACTTGTGTCATTTTGATGTAGATTTTGCTCATCCTGCCTAGTCTCTTCACTGTCCACCATCTTGAGGTCAACGCTCCAATTTACTGGTTTGATTGAATAGTAATATGTGTCTTCCTAAAAGAAGTGAGAAGTTGAAACACATACTGAATTCTTGCATGTCCTCAAACATCAATGCTCATCCTGCCAGGTGAAACAAGTGGTATTTTGTTTGGGTGCAAGAAGTTTGGTTTTTGTCCCCTTTCTCTTAATTCTCTTTAATTCTATCTTATGGCTTTCAGTGTAAAGAAAAAATGGTCCAGGAGCAGTATAATTCTTTTTGAAGCTTTCAAGATTTCTCCTTATTCTTAGATTTTTGCCAAAATATACCCAGATATATATTTTTGTCTTCCATCTTGTCTTGTTGATTTTAATATCATCAAATGTGATCAAAACATTTCAACTTTCTTCAATATAATTAAAATTTTCTACATTTGTTTCAATGTTGCTTACATCTTTCCCTTCCAGAAACCCTGTTATCTTTGTGTTTTTACTCCTAGAAGATATTTATCTTTCCCCTCAATTTTCTTTTTTCTTTTTTTTTTTCTTTTTTTTTTTTTTGGGTGGTGCTGGGGACTGAACCCAGGGTCTTGTGCCTGCTGGGCAAGCACTCTACCATTCCCCTCAATTCTTCATTCTTTGATTTTGTTCTGTGCTTTAAGGTTCCCAAACTAAGCCCCTGTGGTGACTGCTATATTAATCTTCTGAATTTCTTCAAAATCCATGCTACAAAGCTCCACAACCATTGTGTTCTGCTGTTTTCACGTGAGTGTGTAGATACTGGACTCCATCTCCCGTGTTTTCTTCTCTCTGGCAGCTCTTACCTTTGTAAGCAATTGTCACTTGCATGTATTCTGATTGCCCTGCCTAGCCTTTCTATGGCTGCTGAGCCTTTTTTAGTAAAAGTACTTGTCTAACCCAGGTCTCACTGAGAACATTCAGTATTTCATTCCTGCAGACCTTTGGAATTCCAGGAAGCCAACAGTCCTCTACTAAGGAACATGGAGAAAGCCTCTCTTCTTCATATCCATTAAGGCTCACAAGCTAGGAAGATTAAACTCACCAATTCAGTTTTTTGTGTTTTTTTTTTTGTTGTTGTTGTTGTTGGTTTTTTTTGTCTTTTGGGAGTCCAGAAGGCCAGGTAAGATTAAGGCCCACCACCCAGGTTCCCAGATTGCTGAAGTTTAAGCTTTTTCAGGCCAACTGCTCTGCAGTTCTTGTCCCAAGAACAGAATCAGCCTCACTAGTTCTGCTAGAATTCCAAATGATCCCAATATCCCACAGACCTGTAGCCACATGCCACAGGAGAGTTAAGCAGCATAAGAGTCAGGGATGGAGAAGACACTGTTCTTTCTAATACTTAGGAGTTTAATACAGACCCTCAATAACATGCTACACATATACACTTACAGCTTGTGTTTTTTCCTCTACATATGAACATGCCTGAGAACCATCCACACTAAAACAAGTTCATTTAATTCTTTTTAACTAATGTAAAAGAACTGATGAACTTAATTTCCTTTAGTTATTTATTTTTCCTCCTTCAGTGCCAGGGACTGAACCCAGGGCTCACACATGCCAAGCAAGTGCTCTACCACTGAGCTACATCCCCTATCTGTGGACAGAATTTCAAACAGCAGATGTACCCCATCTTATTAGCCATTCTCTACTGACAGGCATTTTAAGTTGCTTCTCTCTTTTTTTTTTTTTTGCCATTATAAAAAATGATGTATGAGCAGAAGCAGCCTTGTGTTTCCTGCATACACACAGATGTCACTGTACAGTAGATTATAAAAAGTCATACTGCTGAGTCATAATATTTCAGCATTTTAAAAATGTAATCATGTAAAAGAATTCTCCAACATGATGACGACTTCCTAGGTCAGACTACTAAGGCCACACATGTAACTAAACAAATTGTGCTTATTATTCCATGCAAAAAGAAAGCAAACACAATACAGGGAACTTGGGGCCACCTAGAGAGGGTCAGAAAGAGCTTATTACAGGATTTCAGTTTGTGTTAGAAATCTGGGTAAGGATTTAAAAAGGTGTGGCTTTGCTCTGTATCAGATGCTACTAAAAAGCAGAATAAATTGTGATTGACTATCTTATCTACAAAAAAGGACAGCCTGAGGCCAAAACCTATAACTGGTAAAGAAGCAGCAATCATGTTAGCAGGAAAACGTGGATGTCTGATCATTATGTGGTCTGGACAATGCTCATGTTCAATATGAGTTCAGATAAGATTGCAGAGATAGTCTTGCTTGTCCTGCTCTATCGTGGTCACATAGTGACTTTGTATGATGTTGACACTCTGTGAAACAATGTTTATGTTCAACAGAGTTTCATGGTCTGGCTGATGGTAGCAGATTAGCTCCTCCATGTCAGGGGGGCTATTCCCCTTTTCAATGCTGCACACTACATAACATTAGGAAGCATATAATATTTGTTTGCCTCATTTATTGTGATATGATCACTGACAACATGAGGGTAACATTTTCCTGACCCCCTCCAATGCAAAGTTGTATTTTCCTTTGAGACTACTCATCTACAAATTGATACTTGAACAGCATGTAAATAATCACTTCTCCATTGTACAGATGTCAAAACATGCATGAAAGTAGCAAGGGGTTACACTTTGAAACCTGCCTGTATCCAGCAGGATGTGGTAAAAAGCAATGCTGTAGACTTGTGATGCAGCATCTACTATTTACAGGGACACTGACTTCCCCGAAATGCTATCTTAGAAGCCCAACAACCTGGGGTTACAGAGTTGTAAAAAAGCCCAGGTACATCTAAGAGCCTTCAGACAATAACCCCAGATGGGTGCCAACAACCAACCAGCATCAACCCTAACAGTAAGTGATGACATGTCCAAAGAGGTCATACTACCACTCTTAAATCACCCCTAGTCGGACTTCCCAGGTAAGGCCACACATGTATCAGAAACAAAACAGGTAAGCCCCTCTCTGAATTTCTGACTCATAGACTCTGGGTGTTCTAAGCCATTAAGTTATGGGGTAACTTGTTATATAGCAATAGTAACTGAATATCCATAAAACTTATAGCTTCATTAATTCAATATCCATTGACAAGCCTTGGAATTTATTTATTTAATTATTTTTGGTGTGTGTGTGTGTGTGTGTGTGTGTGT